TATTATTTTGAGATGGAGTCTTACTCTGTTGCCCAGGCTGGAGTGCAATGGGGTAATCTCGGCTCACTGCAATATCTGCCTCCCAGGTTCAAGCGATTCTCCTGCCTCAGCCTCCCAAGTAGCTGGGATTACAGGCATGCACCAACACATCCGGCTATTTTTGTATTTTTAGTAGAGACGGGATTTCACCATGTTGGACAGGCTAGTCTTGAACTCCTGACTTCAAGTGATCCACCCGCCTCGGCCTCCCAAAGTGCTGGGATTATAGGCAAAAGCCATCACTTTCAGCCCCTGGCTTTCTATTTTAGAAACATGCTAATAGAGACCACTGCATTTAGCTGATGAATTCACTTTTACATGCAAATTAAAACAGAAGCTGCTATCTATCTACATACTCAATTCTTTCTTTCTCACAGGACAGAAGTAAACTGAAATACGGCAAAATTTCCTCATGTTTTTTTCTCAGCTGATACTTTGCATCAGTTTTCACTACTGATTCCAGGTCACTCAGCTGGTTTGAACTCTTACACTGGTGGCTCCAAAACTGAACCTCATGAGGAGGTAAAGGGTGGCACAGGCTTGGCTCCGGGTGACATCCATGCTGCTGCTGCAGTGGTGCAGGACTTGGTGACACAGGTCGAAACACTGTTCCACCTCCTCTTCGAAGAGTAGGTCTCCAAACTAGGAGAGACATAAGAGGCCATTAGGCATCACTTGGCACTTTGATACACTTTCTGGACCGTTGAAATATGCAAATGTCCATTTGGACAAGCAAAAAGCCGAGAGGAGTTAATGCATTACTCCATAAAGATAATGAGCTATATGAATCAGAAGATGAATTTAAGCAATGGAATAGACTTGAGATTTAATTATGAACTGTCCAGCTAAGGTCAGAGCTGTGTTATTAACTGCACTGTGAGCCCGGTTGCATTCACTGGTGAAATCACAACTATGATGGAATTAAACCTGAGTTTCCTGGGTTCCTGGGAATGTATTGGTGATGAAGACAGAGAAAATGGTCCTGATAAGGATGAGCAGAAGAATTTTACTTTTTAAATTTAAAAGATCTCATGTAGAAGGCACCAATTGAGATCTTCAATAAAGGGAAAAATAGGCCGGGCACGGGGGCTCACGCCTGTAATCCCAGCGCTTTGGGAGGCCAAGGGAGGTGGATCACTTGAGGTCAGGAGTTCGAGAGCAGCCTGGCCAACATGGTGAAACCCTGTCTCTACTAAAAATACAAAAATTAGCTGGCTGTGACGGCACACGCCTGTAATTCCAATACTCAGGA